CTCCAGTAGGCTCAAATGGATAAAGTAAGACAGGGTTTTCCTGTAGGTTAACACCAGTTCCTGGCCTTTAAAAAGGTAAATCGTAGTGTTGTCTATGTGGTTTTATAGGCAGAGGAGTGGGAAGCTATTACATTTCTCTCTAACGTTTCTTGGTAGAACAATTATAAATTAGTGCTTCTTCTCCTCCTGTCTAGACTTAGTCTCAGCAGGACTTTAGGTGTGCCATGCCTCTTGGCTAATGAACTTCTCCCAAAAATGCCCACAGCATGTTTCTGTGCCCTTGCTTCCTTTTACTATAGAAACTTATTTATTTCAGGTACTTATATAGCACTGTCAATTTTACGCAGCGCTTTACATATATATATTGTACATTCACATCAATCCCTAACCCTCAAGGGGTGTACAATCTAAGGTCCCTAACTCACATTCCTTCATACACATACTATGGACAATTTAGACAGGATCCAATTAACCTACCTGCATGTCTTTGGAGCGTGGGAGGAAACCAGAGTACCCGGAGGAAACCCACGCAGGCACAGGGAGAACATGCAAACTCCAGGCAGGTGGTGCCGTGGTTGAGATTCAAACCAATGACCCTAGTACTGCCAGGCAGAAGTGCTAACCACTAAGCCACTGTGCCACCCAACTTAGCCACAGGAACACGGTCAGCGCCTGGGTTGTAGCAGCTCCTATATCAAGACACGCAAAACCCCATTCAGTCTGAACTTCATTCCCTGAGTACCACACTAGGGATTCCCTGACTTAGTAATGGCGAATCACGCATGCAAAGGAGCTGGGACAAAAGGGGTGAATAACATGCACCATGCAGCCTGTCTGCATTCCAACTTACAGCACATTCCAACTCATTCGGCCATCCACATCCCTGGAGTGGACATTTGGCAGGGGGATTTCATAAGTCACCAAGGCATAAATTCAAGGGATCTGGCCTTTGCACCCCAAAATCTTTCAAAATCTCTGTCATAACTGGGGAAAACCTGATGTGGACATCCTGGTCTCCAGGTTCATCAAACTGAACAAATTTGGAACCAAGACCAGAGATTCTCCAACCTTTGTAGTAGATGCTTTGGTGATTCCTTGGACTCAGTTGAAACTGACTTATGCCTTCCCTCAAATAAAGATTCTCCCTCAAATGTTGCTCAAGATAAACGGAGTAAGGGTCAGCTGCAAGGTGCCTCAAGTTGTTATCTGAACAGTTTCAGGTTTTTTAACCCTTGTGTTTTTTTGGGACCCTGTTGGCAGTTTGGTTGTACTATGTTGTTACCCATTCCTCAGTTTATTGCTTGGGGATGTCCCATGGTCTATGGAAACAAGTCCTGTACTGTACATTTAAGGATGGGGATTTTGACTTGCCTATAAGTTAATTATTTGGAGTACAGTATAGGACACAGGTCCCTCCACTTTGTGTCTTGATCACTGCTTATTGCTTGCTAAAAAATCCTGGAGTCTAACTGGAGTGGGCAGGTTTACATGAGTGCCCACTAGGGGTAGCCCTAGTATGTTTTTTTGCCAGTGTTTAATCACCAGAAGGTAGTCTGCATATAGTCCATTGTCTATGAATACTGTGTCCTGTACTGTACTTCAAGGACTTTACAGGTAAGTCAAAATTCCTATTTTCTATCTGTTCAAAAGTTTTTTGATTTTCCAGTTAGTATATAAAAATAGTATCACACATACACTCACTGGCCACTATATTAGGTACACCTTTGGAACTGCCTTAATTCTTTGTGGCATAGATTCCACAAGGTGTTGGAAACATTCCTCAGAGATTTTGGTCCATATTGACATGATAGCATCATGCAGTTGTTACAGATTTGTCAGCTGGACTTAGGTGCTCTATTGGATTGAGATCTGGTGACTGTGGAAGCCAGTACAGTGAATTCATTGTCATGTTCAAATAAACAGTTTGAAATGATTTGAACTTTGTGACATGGGGCATTATCCTGCTGGACGTAGTCATCATAAGATGGGTACACTGTAGTCATAAGGATATGGACATGGTCAGCAACAATACTCGGGTAGGCCATAGTGTTTAAACAGTGCTCAGTTGGTACTAAGGGGCCCAAAATGGGACAAGAAAATATCCCTCACACCAAAACACCACCACCAGCAGCCTGAACTCAAAGCAGGATGCATGCATTGTTTACGCCAAATTCAGGCCCTACCATCTGAATGTCCCAGCTGAAATCGAGACTCATCAGACCAGCCAACATTTTTCCGGTCTTCTACTGTACAATTTTGGTGAGCTTTTGCGAATTGTAGGTTTCGTTTCCTGTTCTTAGCTGACAGGAGTGGCACCTGGTGTGGTCTTTTGCTGCTGTAGGCCATCTGCTTCAAGGTTCGATGTGTTGTGCATTCAGAGATGGTATTCTGCATACCTTGGTTGTAACGAGTGGCTACAGTTGCCTTACAGTTACAGTTGCCTTTCTATCATCTTGAATCAATCTTCCCATTCTCCTCTGACCTCTGACATAAACAAGGCATTTTTGTCCACACAAGCAACCATATACTGTGTTTGATTGCTTTTGCTTTTGGAAGTCTATGACCTCTGTACTGTGTAAATATTTAATTTGATTAGAAAAAATAATAATGAAAAATATAATTTTTCTCATCGTTCCTGAATTTGCTTGTTCCTCAAAAATTACTTTGGTATATGACCACTTTAAAATGTAGGTGTTCTGAAAGTGATAATTTACTATGTTTTTAAATTATATTTGTTATTTTAGAGAAGAAAAAGAAAGAGCTGCTGGGTGCAGGAAACGTGGCCCAAAACCTAAACGCCTCCTCCTGCAGGTATGAACTATTATTTGATACATCTTAGATAACACTGAATGCAGCAGTTGTTTATTTTAATGTATTTCAATATAAACCAAAGGAAGAAGTTATGATGGGGGTTTTACATTACTATTTGCTGCAGCTGGTGGTTCTACTAGTATAACTAAAAGGATAAGTAGATGGGATCCTTTATGAAATAAAGTTGGCAGGCCCACGCTTGTACAGGAAGGAGGGCGGTTGCCCAATGTTGCCAAGTGGAGGTGGGTGAGCCATGGGTGTAGAAGGGTAGGCCAGGCTTTGTATTTGCCAGCCAAGTGAGCTGTCAATTGCAGACTGTGGCAGTAGCACTGTATTTGTAGGGGGGCAGGGGCCCACTAGAGGAGCCTCTGATAATGACATCATGTGCCCATGTGCCATAGGATGTCTATCACTGTTCTGTTTATACAATATTGCAATGTATACTATGCAATCCAGTGATTTACAGACGTCTTTCATGTCAGAGTTACTGTAGAGACTGTATGCTACATTAAACATGTAACATTTAAAACATGGGGAAAGGAGGGAGTGACACCAAGGCCACTGTTAGAAATTATGGGGCCCGTACAGCCTACCTGATGGGGCCCCCTTCAACCCCGCCCTCGACCCCACCTTTGGCCCCATCCCTGGTCACTCCTCTGACCCCGCCTGTTCAGTTTGTGTTCTCATACACCACACAATGGACAGGGGTGGACTTGTGATGGCTCTGTGGGAGGCCAGATGTAAATAAACTTGTGTCCATTTACATCAGGCTACCTCTGATCTGTCACATTTAGGTCTGGAAAAAACAGAAAAGGATGCAGTACTTTTCCATTTTTTTTCTGGATCTAAACAGACTTGGCGCTTTCAGTTAGGTCAGTGTTTCTCAACTCCAGTCCTCATGGACCCCCAACAGGTCATGTTTTCAGGATTTCCCTCAGATGAAACAGCTGTGGTAATTACTAAGGCAGTGAAACTGATCAAATCACCTGTGCAAAATAATGGAAATCCTGAAAACATGACCTGTTGGGGGTCCATGAGGACTGGAGTTGAGAAACACTGAGTTAGGTACACATGAAAAATTGACAGGTGACCCTAATTGGAAAGCTTGGGGTGAAAGGTTCTTAATGGAGAGTGGTGTGAGGGCATTAAAGATGCAGCTCAGCTGCGAGTGTTTACTGCTCCCCCAAACACAAGTGTAAAGTAGCATCTTACTGTGTGTTATGATCCTCAGCATTAGGATGATCATACAGCACAGCAGGCAATCTATGGCTCTGTCACAGTGTGTCACACGGCTATCGGGTGTTGACTTTGTTATGGCTGTACTGTGTTACAATCTGTAGCACACTGTACAGCCATAAGTTAACAAAATCAGCACCCAACAGCCGTGTGAAACACTGTGACAGAGCCAAAGATCACCTGCTGTACCAGATATTAGTGTGTCACTCACTATGTGCTGCACTGCTGCCAGGCCCATGCCAGGATTAGTGCTGCTGTTCCCTGTCAGTGTCAGCCGCCTCACATCAGTCTTGGCATCTGTCCTGAGGGAGCAGAGCATTTGCATAAGATCACTTCACCAGGGAAGGCAGCCAGCCGGAACTATAACTGAGCAGCGCAGGTTGCTGTGCAGCTATGTACCTGTGCCACAAAAATGATTAAAAAGTCCCTTCAATGCTCCCTCTTCCTGGGCCCCTATGTTGAGCTGATGGAGTTTAGGAAAATGTTTTTTTTACACCACTCTAAGTATGTAGGATCAGGGGTGTAATTTACTAAGTCCTATTTCTTTATTTGGCATACAAAATAACTATAAAACTGCCCGGGCCCCATGAGCTGAACAGGTACAACAAGGCTGGTTGTGCTGCCTTATCAGTGGACCTGAAGGGCACTATAGGCCCTGTCTATATAAAAAGAAAACCAGTATTTCACAGTAAATGTTGCTTAGCTAATGATGTTCTTTCCAAAAGAATAACTACTGCATTATTTTCATTGTAATTTTATCCTCTTTTCCTCTCTCAGTGACAACCTATGCATGAGGGTATGACAGGGTGTCACTAGGACAGGAACTTATGAAGAAACTAACTGTGGCCAGAGTTGAGTTTTAATGAAACATTTAAATTGTTCTAGCAAGCATGGATTTATAATGAGATAATGCAAGGAGTACAATTTTTCTTGTCTTACAGAGGCTGTATGGTATGGACCTGCGTAGTGCACACAAATCAAAAGAGAGAAATCTCTGCTTTTCTCTGTCTCGGAGATTCAGCAGTGGTCTGGGGACCAAACCTGCCACTGCATCCTCAGTGCCAGAGAAAGCCAAATCATTGCAGTTCCCGCTCAGCAAACAGCGCAAGGGGAGAAAGTTTCTGTGCCTGTCCCGTAAGAAGTTTCTACGGGTGTCTACCTTTGAGACTCTAAGCCGAAGGTCAGAGTTCTTTGCCAAGGAAGAAGAAAAGGAAGATACGCAGACGATCCCTGACTGGCAAGAAGAGAAATCTGCTGAGGAAGAGAAGCATGAAGAAGAGAAAGAAGAACATGCAGATGAAAATAAAGGTGAGATAATCTGTTTTAAAACTTTAACTTTACGTGGTAAAATGACAAACTGGTTTAACTTAAATTGTTAAAAAAACATTGACATATAACAGCTGCCGAGCACCGGTTTAAAGAATACCTGCAGCGAAATAAATACAGAGCCTGTCATTGCTGTTATCCTTTTTGAAAATGCCAGTGTCTGGATGCCTCTACCTTCAGTACTTAGATACACCAACCCAGCGCAAGCATGCAGATCAGGAAAACCAGAGTATAGGCATAAATCCTAATCTGTATACTCCTTCTGAGTCCATGACTTAAAAATTACTGAAACCGTAGATCATTATGATAGCAAAGTACACCTGCGCCCTGACAATGGACATTAAATTAATTACATATTCTTGTGTAAAAGATTCTTTAAATGCTGGATTTACACCTTTTTTGCTTTTACTTGATTAATTTTACATTGAAATCATTTGGATTTCATCAAAACACACATCAATGCAAGCAGTAAGATGTGGATCACAGTGCACATCAGTACATTATGACGTTTGGTCGTGGCATCGATGCACATTAATGTGTGTTATAATGTGTAGTGACATACAAGGTACATAGCAAAGCTCGCTGAACTGATTTCAATGGAAAAGATAGATGTGATTCAAGCCTACAGTCAGTATTTTTTTAGGCTCATACACACAGGTACCCAGCATAGCTAAGTATGACAGGTATGCAGGAGTGGGTACATGGAACCTGACCTGGAGTTTCTGCATCCAGGTCTGTTCACCCATCCCTGTCTACTTGTCAAGCTTGGCTGTGCGGGTGAGTCCATATTTATTCACCATTGTGAGCTGCCTGCACACAGCTCAGTGTTGGGAGAGAAAAGAGAAAAAACTGTTCTTTACGCTGCACAGGGTTGATTACCTGTCAGAATGAGCCCCTAGCGCTTTTACTGCTTGTTCAGAATAGGTCAGTACTTCAGTGTGCATAGTATGGGCACAGGTTCACTTAAATTTATCCACCACTTAACCTGTGAAATCTTATATAACATAATTTGCTTGCAACCATTCTGTACATTTTTATGATTTTTCAGTTCTATGTGTTGCTTACTATTACCTCCTCCTATGTTATTTGCAGATGATACAAAGACGCCTACTTCACCTCCCTGGCTTCCTGTTGTGCCCACACCTATCGAGATCATTGTTACTGACATCACTTCAAACGCCGTCACAGTGACATTCCGTGAAGCCCGGTCGGCAGAAGGCTTTTTCCGGGACCGCGGTGGCGAATGCTAGCTGCACCGTTCCCCTCTGTTGTATCTTTCTCGTATTCCTCTTTCTTCCTCTACTGAACTGAAGACTGAAGACTAGAAAGCAACTGCAGGCAAATGGGTGTTGCCCCTTTAACTGGACTGTATAAAAGTGCAGAACACTGTTTCTGTGATAGCAAGGGTGTAACATTCCTTAAAATATTTATTGCCAGCTCCACAAGCTACAATTGACTTTCTTGAAAATTTCTCCCGGTTGAAAAGCTATTAACTTTCTCCATAAATATACAAAAATGTTTTGCATGGGAAAAGATGCAAATTGTGAAAGATACTGCACAGAAAAGATGCCACAATATATGGCAATGTACAGTTGCATCATATTTTGTTTTAATGGTAGGTGTTTTAGCTACAGTAAGACAGCGTCTTGTAATAGCAGATTATATTAACACAACACCCTGTACAGTATGAGAAGGTAACAACCATTTTAACTGCACTCACACCACAGCTCGTAGTAATCCGACTTATGTATTTGCACTCGCAGCACACTGTAATGTTCAGATGCTTGAATGATGTTCAGTCAGTTAGTGTACAAGCTCCTGAGTTTTACAGTTGATTCTCATTCTGCAATATGTATATTTACAATGGTATTAGCGCTGCTGTTTGTGCTATCTGCTTCTGTGCTAGTAAGCTTTACTTGTATCCTAATGATGAACCATTTGCACATATGGTATACATGGTGTAGTTTACCTTTTCACAGGTTTACTTCTAAAACTTGCTCACACTCTTGTAGTAATTAGTGATGTATACATGAAATTCTATGCTGACAAATACTTCATCATTGTCTCAGCAAGTGGAAAATTTTTACTGTGTATATATAATTTTGGATTTCTAGCTAAGAAATCACAAAGAACTAATTATTGGAAATAAATCCCAAAGTATTGTGGGATTATTTACCACCATTTGTAGTATGCAGAGGTATACAGTATATACGTCAACAAATGTTTTAGTGCTTCACTTATTGGGATATCCCTCATGCATATATCCTATTGTTCCATATATCATATTTTGGTATTTTGGATTCCAGGCCTAGGAGGAAAAGCAAGAAAATTACTTTTGCCCATAGCGGTTAATATCTTAGGTATTGATCCCAGTATTACATCCAGAGAGGAATTACGTTAATATAAGAAAGATATTTATCTAAACCATGATTAATTCAAACACTTGATCCTCTATATAGAACCAAAATATGCAATGGCCACAGGGTAAAGTATTTATGAGGCCAGAGGTTTGGTTGGTTAAGATAAGCACTTTATTTTGCACTAGGGTTTGGGGATAAGATATACATTAAAAATGCACTTGTATTTAAGGTATTTAATATAATGTCATAGTGGCATATGTCTAAGGCTTCTGCGCTATTCTAAGACCTCATACACATGAACACTGGAGCTTCATAGCTCTGGACTGCATTCTACGCAGCTTTGAAACATGGCTGCCAGCCAGTGGGTCACAGTGTAAAGGACTGGGCCTGCAGTGTTAAGCATGTCCTAAATGCTGCAGGCAGCGTTCCTGTACACACATTGCAGCAAAGTGAAGTAGACGGTTCACTAAGTGCTTTTGTGTATAAGGCCTTAATGTTTGCCATAACTGTACAGTCATGCCCATTTCCATTATTTATATGTACTAGATGTTTGGCATATTTTATAGATTCAATCTAATTTGTTCTACCACATGTTTTGAGAGCAGACATTCATTTAAACCAGCAGGGAACTATATTCTGAGAATAAGCTACATAACGTGCACAGATTATGTGTGTGTATTATTTTAATGTAGACTGAGAAAGCAAAAACTTTTGTAGAGTTTTTTTTTTTTTTTTTTTGCATTGAATGATTATTTTTGATTGAACTTGCCCCAGGCACATTAGTTGTGGTGAGCTTGTCTATGTACTGCAATGCTCACTTCATCTGACTATAGTCACTGCTACAAATCTCCATGGATTGTTATTTGTGGGCACAGTTTGGCACTGGATTTTTTTGGACACACAAACCTTTCTGTTCATATAAATGAAAGATGCTTAAAAATGAGTTATCAAACTAAAAATTGAATCAAGCATAGTCCTTAAAATTAACCTCAATCCAACCCTTGAATCGGACCTGTTCCACCTTTAGGGATGAGAGATCATTGATACCTGGATGCAAAAGCCAAAGTTAAGTGTCTGTGTGCCTGGCCAAATAATTTTTACACTTTTTTTTTTGAACATACATTTTATTTGCTACCCCAAGGCTTGTTTTCAAAAGAAGTAAAGCATGTTCACTTTGTGAAGTAATTTTTCACTTAGTTTAGTACAGGGGGTCGCCAAACTTTCTAAACAAAGGGCTGGTTTATTGTTCTTCAGACTTTAGGAGGGCCAGAGTGTGTCCAATGGGAAATGTCCTGGCATCAGTGGGGGGTAAACAATGTAATGTAAACATCTTTAGTGTTAGGGGAGGAATAGTGCCCCATCATTGGTGTCAGTGGGACAAATAGTGTCCCATTGTCAGTGTCAGTGAAAGGAATAGTACCTCAAGGGCCGGATGAAGGAAAGCAAAGGGCCGCATCCAGCCCCCGGTCTGCAGTTTGGAGACCCATGGCTTAGTGAATAGGGTGAACCTGTGCTGCCTTCTATCATTCAATCATGTAGAAGCAACAATCCTGTTTTTTAACTGTCTTTGCTTGTGGTTCGGTGCGCTTTGCAAAATCAATATTCACCACCTTCACTAAGTTTCGGGAAAATTCACTTTAAAAAGTTAACATGATTTATTCCTCTAGTAAATCAACACCACTGATATTTGTATTTTAAGATGACAGATGGACACACTTCAACATCTGCAGTGTCCTGGTTTCTTCTTCTATCAAAGTGCATCTTGATGTGCCAGACTCAGTGACAGACAAGCCTATTCAGCACAGGTTTGTTGGTAAACAAAGCCATGTGAACACTGCAATTACATGCTAAGGAACCATTCTGATTGGTTATTAATTTGTCAAGTACAAGAACTAGCAGATGCCACCTAAAAAAAATCAGTGCTGAAAGACAATGTATGTCTTTTGCATCCAAAATTCCAGTGCCCACGTTGCCATGCCAGACACTTCTAATCTGACATCACTACTGGTTAATAACTACTGGTGCCAGTATACTCTGATGACACTGCTTTCTATGAATACACCTTAGAATCTGCATAAATGACAGTGCTAGTAAATATCAGTGCTGTTTATGCATATGCAAAGGTGGACTACAGTCAGAATGTAGACAGTTATCTGAAATGTTGCTATGGGCAATGCAAACAGTTTTTAATTTGGACAGTTTGCTAAAAAAAGGTCCCTAAAGTGCCTGAATGCACGGTCTTGTGAAAGTGACGGATTTATTTAAAATTGTATTGATTGTTTGAAAGCCAAACCATTTACAGCACTTATTTATATACAGTTTATATATAAAAAATGGTTAATTTCGTTTTTGAGAGGCCAATAGTAAAAAATGTCCTGGAAAAAATAAGGCTTTTTGTATAACAAACTACCAACGTGCACCAACCTATTGCATTTATGTACCATTAGTTCCTATAAAATGCTACTTTTACTGGATGGTTTCCTATTAGTCCCTACATGTGGATACAAAAGTAAAACATTTAAACCAGCATATAACCTAAAATGATGCATGGAAACTAAGTTAATATTTTCTTGCTTTTCTACTTTTTTTTAGAGGGTGTCCACAATTTTCTGGCATTTAGTTATTACTCATAGCATTTTAACCTTCCTCCCCTGTTTATAATATTTCTACTTTTCCCAGTACATGAATATCTCTTAAAGTAGTAAATTGATTATAAAAATGGTTCACATTACAAAGATGTCCTAAAAAATGTACTTTGTTGTTAATGACTTGGATATCTCATATCTTTATTCTAGTATGTTGATGTATATACTGGGAATTGATATGTAGCTTATATCATTAACAGGTTTCCTGTATGTTTTTGTTCAATGAAAATTAGTTTTCCTGTTCCACGAGGCTTTTGAATGAAAATCTGTTTGTGATCAGACCAGATATTTCACTGATCCCTTTAGTTTTATGTAGAGTGCTGCTTTATAGTGATGTTTAGAAGCAGCATAATTGTACCATTATATATACATATTATATTGATATAAATACATATGTTATGTGAACTTCATGTGATAGCACTTAGGACCAATGAATTAATGAATACGTTATTTGGCTTGCCTATACTAAGTATCTAGTATGTGTCTGCATTTTATCTATTTAAATGATATTTTGCACACATTAGTACAAGGTGAGACTGTATAAAAAGTGTTTAAATAATTATGAGTGTCCAGTTGTACCAATCTGTGCTGTATTGTGCATGGTGTAAGATACTTCCTCATAGTTGCTTAAACCTTTTTATGAATGATGTCCATTGATCTGGGCACTTCCACAAAACAATAATTTTTTATTTTAAGCCATGTTCAAACTATTATACCACTTTTGCTCCTTTATTTTCCTTGTGCTTTCTTGTTTTCTTACATCTAGTTTTTGTACATCCTCAAGGGCTCAAACTACATTGATGTATTTTATTACTGGGCAAGATGCTAAGAAAAGGTCATGATATAGGAAATATTCCATGAAAGTCTAAACAAAGTTTATGATTAAGACTTTGGATGTTGCAAAATTGTATCTGGTCACTGCTGAAGTGGTCAGTGCAGATCCACTCCATTTATCGTATATGTGTCCGAAATTGTAGCAGATTTTGCATAAGATATACATTTTACACAGACCTTGTCTGAGTAATGATATATTTTTTTTCTATGAAGATGGAGCTCAGGAGGAGCTCAAAGCTGAGGCTGTTCACATTTCTTTTCACCTGCTGAGCTAGTAGTGTGTGGCGTCTCTCATCCCCTCATGCTTCCCTTGCTACTGGATTACGTATAAAACAGCCTGCACCCTTACATTACTGTGAGACACCGGATCTACCAGAGCACCTTGAGCGGCACTATAAATTGTATGGGGAA